GGCCCAGTTCCTGGGATGACTCAAGGGCTGAAAAGCAGGACAAGGGCAGCCGGAGCGATGGAGCCCTGCCACTGTCTCAGCACAGTGTCAGTCCCTCGCCATCGGCTGAGTCACAGTCACACCCTGTCCTGTGGTCAGAGAGGAGAGGAGCAGCACCCCAGTGAGAAAAGCAATAAAAGATCCTGGATGTTCTGGAATTATACACAGGGAAATCAAGTTATTAAAATTCACAACAATATTGCTGAGCATGCTCATTCCTGCTTTTTTTTTTCCTCGGGATGAAAACACTAGATTTTAAATGCATATTGTAACCAAAGGGCACAATGATGAAAGTAACAATAATAATTCCTTGCATTTATATCGTGCTTTTCATTTCAAAGGATTTAAAAGTGCTTTACTGGATAGGAGTAGGCTGACTGCAATCCTGAAGTGCAACCCCCACCTGGGTGACAAACAGCAGTCGTGCACCAGCGCCCCCATGAGCCACAGATGGTGGAAGACTGAGGAGTGACTTCACCTACTGGAGTTGCACTGGTATACTGGGTTATCAAAAAGCGCACTGAGCTCAGAACACCACTTTAATATTTAAGACAAAGGACGACACCTCCTACAGTACAGCATCAGCTCCTCCAGGTCACCATGCTGGGGAAATGGACTGAAGATTGGGTCCAGAGGGAGGAGTGCCCCCTGCTGGTCCACCACTACAGCTCACAGCAGTGACCTGTTTTTTCTCAGAGGTCTCCTATCCCAGCACTGACCAGGCCCTGCCCTACTTAGGTTCAGAGATTTAACAGAATCCAGCTGACTACAAATTGGCAACGTTGTCAAATTTAGTTATGATAATAATTCATACGCTAGCCCAAAAAACAGACATCTGTGTTTGTAATTATGTGGTTTGGAGAACTGAAATGACTAAGCTGTGAATCTACTGTGTGTAGATTCATGGACCCTGCTCCAAACCGGACACATCCTACAAAATTCATAAAAGATTCCATCTTCATGTTCAAAATTAATTCACTTCCACAGAGGGTTTTATACAAATTACCTGTGAAATTAATGTACTTTAAGTATCATTCTGGGAGAATATTGTCTTCTTCATCAATACTGAGTAATTAATGTGTAAATAATGAAAGCTGGCTTTAAGCCATATAACACAAAGGACATGTCAGACTCATGTTAAGTACTGAGGCAAAATTTCAGTGCCTAAGTCATATTGCTGATGTGTTTACTTAGTGTTAAAGTATGTTCTTCATATTAAAAAATGCTTGAGAATACTGGAAACATCTTATTCACTGTATTATATTGAGCATTTCCTTCTGTCTCCCAACAGATATAAAAAATCAACTTTTGTGCTATGAATTGAGATTAAAAGCATTGATACATCTAGTAAAATGTTACAGAAGAAGTCAGTTTTCTTTAAAATGAGCACTTTGTTACAGTGGTCTATAATGTAAGCTTTAATGTGCAAGTAAATGTATTTTTCTTTAACACACCATACATGTAAATGGGTTTAATGTACATATTGACAGGCGTAATTAATAATCAATAACTATTTTTTATTTTATCTGTATTGCATATTTATGTTAAACACTGATTTACTTCATCAGAGTTTTTTGATGAGACTGAGACATAATTTCCTTTAAACTGTTGTAAAATAATGCAGCTTTAGGGTCCCACAAAGGTGTGGCCCAATAATTTCAAGGAAGTTTTTTTTGTTAAATAAAAACTCCACAGATCCATTCCCTCAGAGGTTTCTTAAGTACAAATTTGAAGGCTACAAAGGTGATAAGTAATTCCTGCAGAAAATTCACCTTCTCATTAAAGGAGTTACTTTCTGTACCTTTGTATTCGGTCTCCTGTGTTAATCACATAACCAGGTCCAATGTGTGTTCTTCATTGCTAGGCTCTTACCTTTTGAGACAGTCCATGGGAGTACTTCAAAAAATAAAATTTGCAGAATTTGATTTCAGTTAACATTTAAATGTTCAAGTTAAAGTCGGGAAAAAGAACTCAGGACTGATGTGCGTATTGAAAACAGCTGGTAATATATGACTCTAACCTTTCAGTTACTGGCCTTTATGCATATACTCAGAGACCAGGGAGGGAAAGATTTGGGATTGTCAGAATAGGAACATAGTGTGTGGAGGGCGGTGGTTTACGGCAGGTGTGCTCCAAGGAATGGAGGCTGAAAATTCAGCTGTTATTGCAATTTTTGTCCTCTTTTCCAGTACGCTAGTTTTTAAATGCGTGCTCATGACTTTCTTGTGATACTGGCAAATCAATACAATAATAAAGTTAATGTATGCTCTAGCACTATCCATATTTTGGGAAGTAACAGCCTGGCTTCAGGAAACGAGAACCAGCTTGTCAGTTTATTAGGAGTTTACACTGAAAGCTTAACATGTCTTAAACTTCCAAAGGGATGATGCAACTCGATCTGTCTTGTTGAAAACAATTTGACTGCCCCCACAAGTGTTTATTTCACCATGGACTCTAAAATGCCAGGAAGATTATTTTGTAGCTGTGGATACTGTAGCTAAAAAAGGGGAACTTCAATTAGAACAAACTATGCAATTCAGGTTTATCTATGAGGAAAATGCAGGTTTTCCCAGTGGAAAGTCAGAGATTAGAAATAGATGCCAGTTGTTCTGTTGCATATCACAAAATCACTAACACCAGGTGTTGGAATGCGACAGTCTCCCTCTCTGGTCGACACATGAATCACTTACAGCAGTGTTTTGATTTCCAATTTTCAGTCCACCGGGTAGTGAGGTTGCTGTGTTATTTTTAATTAAACATTATCCTACAATTATGCACTGTAGTTGCACTATCTGTGTAACACTCAATATGGACATTGATCATTTTTACACTGTCCCAGAGGGATACTGAAGTTTTATTGGTACTTCACTATGAATGTTGTGAGTCTGTTAATTAAGAAATACATAACAATTGGAGATATGGTTAAAGATATCCAGGTGAAAAATTAATTATACATAGACTATTAAAATCCCACTATAAGCCAAAGCATTTAATTTTCAGCATTTCTGATGAATTGCCAAAGTTATAGGTTAATAACTATTGGTTGCCAAATCATGGCAGTAGATTCATAAAGAATAGCAGATATGTTGTTCAAGGAGATATATATAACCAACTCCAAACTGCATTCCTGTATAATTATTACATCCACTAAAGCATTGCTCCTATTTTTATGACACACATTTAGAAATTTCAAGAATAACCCAAGAAAAATATCAGTATATGTATTAGTCAACATAATTACCTAAAAACATAATTATTATAGATTTTACTTTAATTGTTAACATTAATTTATTTAAATATAAAACCTGTGTTCTATGAAAAAGGTGCTCTTTGAAATAATCATTTTTCAGTTAGAATACACGTACAATATTTAGATCATACAATACCGGCAGTACTTATTGTTAGAGCTTATATAAATGCATTTGTTTTCGTGTTAGTTTACAAAAACCATACACTTACAGTATAAATGACATTTTCGGGATATTTATATACCTCATGTTTTTATTTTCCAATGGTAAAATTTGTTAGAGAAAAAAAAGCAAATAATTCACATTTAATTTCTCCCGTTGACGATATATTTGTTATATCTACCTGGAATGTAATGTTTATGATTTTATATCACAATGGGACTATCCTCATGTAGCACGTAATGTATAAAAAACCTAAACAAATCTCCGTATTCTACAGGTCATTTTGAAATCGGCATTCCCAGACAGGACTGTCACGGCTTTACAAGTTGTGTTTTTAAAATAAAAACAGTGGTTGTAAGGTAGATTTTTTATTTGCAAAAAGTGGAGAAATATGTCACCTTGGTTCAAACATGCTCTCCTCCAAAATAAAATAAAATACAAATAAAATAAAATATAGCCGTTAGTCACAATGTCCCTCAATCAGGAGGACACTACAGTATGGGAGCGGGCCAGGCGAGATTCAGCACCGCGGCCAGCGCACGTGCCGGCACCGCAGGGCGCTGCCGCGTCCTGCACTGTTGGCTAAGAAATACTGTACGTCGCTCGCTCCGTCCCCCCCAAAAAGAAAATACATACAAAACTGCATAACAGTCTAATTTATAAAGTGCTGTCAATGTGCATGCTATCCGCATTTAAGGCTGCGACGGCGCCGCGCTCAGTAGCTCGATGGGGGAGGGGATGCCATCTTCAGAGAGGTTGACATCCTATTTGGGTTAATGTTACAGTAGAGTGGAAAGCTACAGTAGGACTTGATATCGGTGGCGTATAGTTACACTGGCGAGGGAAAATACGTTTTTGTTTTGTCCCTCGTACTAAAAGCACAGGGAAAGGGACAGGTGTTTTATAATTAGCTGTGCTCATCGGTGGCTGAATTCGACACCCCTTTGTGGTCCAGTTATCTCTGGGGCGCTGTATTACACCTGCCGTTTAACCCATAAAGAAAATAAAACAAATTAAAGACGCGAAATGTAGGCTGAAAGTACACCACAGCCCCACTCCCTTTCATAAATTGTATTGGTGCGACTGATAACATTTTTTACTTTCCTCAACCATTTTCAGAATGTAGTGCAAGTTTGTTTACAATTAAAACTGCAGTTTTGAAGCGGCATTTGTGCATTGCTTTAAAATATCAAACTTTGCGAACATGTTGCTCAAAAAACTTTTGTCACATCCCCTTTCTCGACCCCTCCGTGAATTTATGTGATATTAGATATATATGTACTAAGGAAAATTATTTCAATCAAGATGTCGATATTTCTGTCGGCACAAGAACGAAGCAGAACGAGCTGGGCAAATTTAAGGGAGAGAGACGTCTTTCCAGTCGGAGCAGCAGTTCGTGTGTGCGTAGATATCAAAGTTTGTCACCGAGCAATAAATATTTTAAACGCCCTACGGTGTCTCCTTGTTGACGGTGGTCTTGTCCAAGCTACGACTTTAAATGGCGTGTAGCGTACTAAATAGAGGGCGGACCTGAGTGGTTTGTGTGTGAAAATCTCGTGATTCCCTATCAGTTTTACTGAGCGAACGCCGCTCTGTAATCTGGTGTAATAGACACAGGACGGCGGAGTCTTCTCCAGCCTACAAAACTGGTAATCAGCCTAGAATCGCACGATACCACCTCCAACACTCGCTTCAATCTGGACCTAATACCTTACACTGCAGGAATGTAATTTGGATTATTATTCTTTGGATGTCTTGACAAAAACTAAGGTAAGGAATCATTTGAAAGGTTGTTTTAGACACACAGATTAAATTTCCTTGCAAGTCTCATGAGTAAAACCCTTCTGTATCTTTATATTTACTTTTGCCTCTGCTGCTTTTCTTGAATTTGGCTTCCTATGACACGCGAATTTTAAAGATTCCAGCTAGACTGTTCGTTTTCTGAGGAATGATTGCACCCAGCCGTGGCTCATTTGACCGAAGTACACTGAGGACAGCAGGTGTGTAAACGGGGCTCTTAACATTTGCTGAAAGTTAGAAACTTAAGAATCAATAATTGATCACGTATTTGTTTTTCCCGAGCGATCAACAACTAAACCGACTTTGCAGATCGTGAGACTGGATTTCCAGCCATAAAAGTGGTGCATTTTCTTAATGCATGATGACTTCCAATCCCAGAGCCGATCCCTCTCAGGGACCTGGTGATGATAGTGGAAAAACCCTTAGCTGCAGACAGAATGACTTTGATATTCGAAGGTCTTTGGGCATAAAGACGGCGTGCAGGTGCTTTTCAGTAGAAGTGGAGGAAAAGCCGCAAGGTTTCAGGTAGAGACGAGGAATCAAAATCAGTCGTGACAGGATTAAAAGAGATCATCTGGGTTAGGTAAACGGGATCCTTATTAAAAACATACTCTCGATCCGCCGGAATCCCTGCACATTGCGCGGAAAAAAAAGAAGAAACGGTTCCCCCAAACCAGTGAATGGAGCCGTTTCTTATTGTATGTTAAAGGGAATATTGAAACTGCACAAAATGTAAAAAGTGACGTAGCCCATATTTAGTTGACTGCTTTCAACGGTTAGAACGCTCTGTACTTGCACGACTTCTTTCGGAAACGTACTTTATAAAATTTTAACAGTCTTCTTGTATATTGGGTAATTCTACTCTGTGAAAAGGGTACTTTTATAAAAGGTCCCGATGAATAAAATCATTGCACTTTACGCGGTAGCAGGTCGCGTTTCAGGCGAGAAAGCAATTTATTTGCTTGCTGCCTGCCGATGAGTGCGGACACCTCTTTTAATTCGCACTGTTTGAGTAAATAGCCCTTTGGAAAACTACGGCACTTTGATCTTTTTTCTACAAATTCAATTTTAGTTCGTTTTTTTTGGGGGGGGGGGTCTGCTTATGAATTTGAACTGGATATACTGTACGGTAGATACCGAGTAGTTGTATTAACAGAAGTAACATGGAAGTAACTACTGTAGTTACAATTCAGTCGCTCCAAAAAAAAAGTCCGACTTCGTTTGCTTAAACGAAGAACTACCTTCAATGGCTGGAAGTACGCTACAGAGGTCAAAAGCTAGACTCCTGAAGTCCCGTGCGCTTGAAGCGTGTTGTAGATGATGTGTAATGAGGCGGAAGGGACTTGTGCTGTGAGGCGAGCGCTCCCCGCACAGAGGGTAGTGACAGGGACGGTTTACCGCAGGAGGCACCGGGCGGTTCTGGCGTGCGGAGAGCCAGCCCGAGTACTTCCACAGGCGAAGCTCTCCCTCGATTTTTTTTTTTTACCTCCAAAAAGGATTCAATGAAAATGTGATTTTTTTTTTTAATGGACACATTTTTAATATAATTTACCACTAAGAAAAAAAAGGAGCTTTATTGACACACACACACACAAACAAAGCTGCAAACGAAATCAAGTCATACAGTAGCTTTTCCCACTCTTCGACTTACATTTAATTGCGGGCAGTTGTAAGCAATTGTTTTTTTTTTACCTTGGTAAAAAAAAAAAGATGTCGGAGATGGGGTGTGTTGGAACTTTGTCTTGTTCCTGCCGCAGCTGTGCTGAAAATGTACAGGGCCACATTAGAGAAGCCAGCGGTGTCCGGGACTCGCAGTTCTTTCCTACTTACAGCACAAGCCCGAAGCCCGCGTAAGAGACGCCAGGCCTTTATTGCTGTAGTTAATACACATTGTGCCTTGAGAATATACATACCGTAAGAAGCATATATAAAATAACAAGCACGTACAGTAGGGTTCTCACCCATATAATAATGGACGTAACCCCATATACTGTATATACAGTATGTGTAGGGTTTTATTTTTGGAATTTGCATAACGGACGGCTGTCATGTGGTTTAAAAATAAGAACAGCATAGATTTAAATGGTAAAATAATTAAGGCAACGAGTGATGAGCCCATGCAATTATGTATACCTCTTTACTGATTGCACTGCTGATTGAGAAGCGTTTCGTGTCATCACCTTGTTTTCGGCACAACGAGGTCCACCGCTCCTTGTCGGAAGGCGTGTTTTTTAATATAAGATCAAGGTCTGAATTTTCATGTGCTGTGCTTGGTAATGTGTCTGGTAGTAACCTAATGTATTTAACGTTTTTAGGAATACATTTTAGAATTAAAGACATTATACTCACGTTTATCTCGTCGTAGGAAAGGCAACTACACAGTATAGCGCCTTATTACAAAGCAGATTCAAGCTCGCTGGTGACATAAATTATGTTCCTTAGATGTGAACAATATGATAACTGTCGTCAAAGTGAAAATTGTCCTTATTGAATCAGATGGGGATTATAACACACTGTGCTTTGCCACGCCATCATTATTTTAACTGACGTGTTCGTTGCGCGGGCTCTGGATTTGTACTGTATTTCTCGTCATTTTTCCATTGAATTCACTCGTTTTTTATTCCCAACACAAACACAAACCCTACTTAAAATAATCAAGAATAAGTTAAGGTTATCGGGCCTTGAAAACGGCTGATTATATTATTTTTCATTTCATACAAATCAATGGTACGACCTCCGTAAAATGGCCAGTTTCTGCTCAATGCTGTATTTATGCTGTTAATGCAGGGCCTGTATTTTCTGTTTTGGTTTTATGTCTCTTCATTGTGTCGTTTTTATTTTGTAGTTGGTCGCGACTTGCCGGCTAGTAGCTGTCCTTTTACACCAAGCAGAAACATGCAGAGGCGTTCAAAGTAAATGTTGCCTTAATGTCAAGAGAAGAGCGACTACAAAGCCAATTACAATTTCCAGAGACTAATTATTTAATGGGTAGATCATTCTAAAATAATTTTCTTTTGCTGCGTCTTCCTGTTTTCTGATTTCGATAGAATAGAACGTGCTGTGTAATATTTTAAACTGTTGCAACTGCTGACAATAAGAATGCTGTACAGAGAACAGTAAATATAAATATTTAAAACGTTTTATAAATTGCTTGCATTTTATAAAAAAGATTTGCAGTATAAAATTGATTTATAAAATTGTCCAGCTCGTTGTTATTCTTCACAAGAAAAACATACCAATGAAAGCTTGCTCTTCAAGTCTAAAGTTGACATACTGTACAGTACATATCTAAAATATTTTTTATAATTATTTGAAGGCAAATTTTCAAAAAATGAAATCAAAAGTGAAAACGTATATATTTTCAATTTTAAAATGTATATTATATAACGTACTATGTTTTTTACATTTTTTTGTGTTTTTAGTCTTTTTTGAATTTGTGAGGAATATGTGTTTGCCAGTTCATCCTTATTGTCCACATGTCCTTCAGGCTGGTCCTCTGGCTGCTGCACATTGCAGTCTCTTGTTTTTCGTGGGTGCATGCGTGTTCTGGAGAGGTTGCTCCTTCTAATCCACAGTTTAGGAATTCGGCTAATTTTTGAAAGAGTCTTTTTTTCAAAATACAGAACACAGGAAAAACGTGTGAGCCAGACACAATCACAGTCTTGTTGTCCTAGCTGATATCCCAGCTTCCTTCAAGAAATGGCTGGATGATCCTCAGATCAGTGAGCTGCTAGCAGCCGTATGAGCTACTGTAGGTGGGCTTAATGGCCTTCTCCTGCTTGTAACTCTTATGTGTTTCTAGGTACAGTATATCACTGGACTGTGGCAGGATGATTCCATTAAAAAAGGTACATTTAATTTGGAGCATAATAATTTAATAGCCACTCTAGGTTTTAGTTCCCTTTTAAATTTCCATATTTTAAAATGGTTTAATATCCGTTACTCTAATATTAAAAAATACATGTAATTGGCATGAAACCTGCAAGAGACAGCAATAGTATTTTCACAGAAGAAGAAGGTGAATTTGACCATTTAGACCGCGTCTCTGAAGACGTTTGAGGAGGCCGTGAGCGGAGCAGACAGAAGCTTCCTGAGCTCCTTGAAAAGCAGCAGGAAGGAAGGGCAGGAGACGAGAGTTGGTCTCTCTCCATGTGGCCTTCTGAGGTCTTGTGCCACAGTCTGGCCGCCCACTGACTTCTGTGGTCTGAGGTGGGAAAGCGTAGCAGGCTGTGGTAAAGATATACTTCCACTGGGAATATTGCTGACCTCCACAGCTTAAATATGGATAAATAGGATTGGTGGTAAAGTCACTGGAATGGGCGACATCGCAAAGAGCTGATTGGTTCCAGAGAGAAACATTTTTTTTTTCTCCTGGAAGAAGAAACGTGATGGTTATAAATGGAGAGACAGAAGTTGTTTCGGGAATTAAGTATTGCAGCCAAGGTTATATAGTTCAGGCTTATTTACCATATGTATTAAACTCTCCAGTAATTCTTAATTACTAAAATAATTCTTTATTTCTCTAGCATTTTCAAATAGTAGGGCTGGTTCTACTTTTTTAATTTTTCTTGGCAGTATTGCTGTTACTTAAGCTTGAACAATGGTGTGCACCAAATCATTGCTGAACATGTCGTGAATTTCAAATAAAAAAGTATTCCTTCATTCAGGCTAGATTAAGTGCCTCTCAGGTTTCATGATCTTTCACAGCCCCATCTCCTCCCCCAGAGGCCTCACAGACAGGCCAAACCAAGGTCTCCATAGGGATTGCATGTACAGTAGCTTCTCAGTGGGACATATCCTGTACATACAGTATAAGTGAACACGATGCTATCTATAGTTTAGCCTTTTCACCCCTTACTTCTGCTTCTTCGGTGCAGTTCTTTTAACAAAGGAAGAGCAAACACATCGATGTCAAAGAGATGTGACTGATGCCACGACGAGTATCAGTTACAAGAATTCAATAGCTCTCTGCTTGAGTTAAATTAACTATGCAAGGCAGGTGGTTAAAGTTCTGCATTATATTTCTCATTATTGGAACCTTCCTGGTTGGTTCGCCTATTGTCTTGAAGAAATGGCTACCCACGCCTGTGAGAGGACAGAGGGGAATTTTCTATGCATATTAAGTTGCACTTTGTATATTACCATGGAATATGAGCACCTCTATTGTAATGCTCGGATCACTTAGCCTAGTAGGAAACCAGTGTGGTATCTAAATGATTTTTCTAAATGATCAGATTAGGTTAATCTTAACGTATAAAGCAAATATGCAGTTTAACATATCAGCTGGGGTTTTAGATGTCTACACAAATAGATCACTTAGTGTTCTGATAATTGTAGTTGAAAGGCTGAATTTTCCAACCTTGTGAAGTGCACATGAGTTTTTTGTACATTTTGTAAGAATAACTTTACTGTTTGCATTGATGTTATAAATATACAGCACAAGATAGGTAATTTAAATATATACTGTACACACTGAGCTTGATTAGATTGTGTTTGTCAAGATGTACATTGTTTTATTAAACATTAGTTTCAAGTTCTAAATGGATGTTGGAGGGTAGAATGATGATTAAATAAGTCTAAGCCTTTTTTTTTTGTTTTTATCTCCACAGCCACAACAAAATCTATAAATATAACATATTGATATACAATAGTAAATGCAAAGTGTATTTGCTTAAAATATGAAAGCATTAGAGATCCACAGTGTCCATAGAGATATCAGTATAATCTTCTGTCAAGTGTGAAGAGCTATACAGTATCTGTATAAATTAAGTTATAATTCATACAGATTATTACATTAAAACACTGATTTTTTTATTGCAAAAAGATGATGTTTCACAATTATTCGATTATAAGAAAGGATTAGAGACTTGTAAACGATGAAGAATATTAATGGGTCATCATCTGAATCTTCATTTTTTATCAAGGAATTAACATGCCCCAAAGGGAAAGAAAAAACAACATTGTTTTATCTGGCTTTCAAATGTATGTGGAGTGGGAGATTTGAATTAATTGGTGGTATGTAGGTGGACATATGTATTTTAACTGTTTTAAAGTTCTTTCTTCGCATTGAATTTCTGGTGGAAAGCCTTTAATTTTCTCGTCATCAGATAAAAAAGCACTGCAGTATTGATTGATAGCTGTGTCTGCTATGAGAATAATGTGGGTAATTTTCAGAGTAGATGACCGATAACACAAAAGAACCTTTTGAGAAAATAGCTGGAAAACTTTTAATTAGATTTTGATACCAGCTGTTTTAACTCTTTCATGGATGCTGAGAAGTGATCTCACTTGTATTTGGTATTCATTCTTGAATATGTACTGACACATCTACCCCCAAGAAGAAAATACTGCCATTTTCACACACTTGAAAAGGATGAAATGGTAGATAGAAGAACTTGAGCTGGAGCTCAGAACAGAAGAAGGGAGAATTGAATATACAGTATTTCTGATATTACTAGTTTTATGTTTTGAATTTGTTAATGCCTAAACATCATCAGACGCATGCATTGTGTAATTAATGAAATGAAAGTACAATCCCTCACAGTCTGTTTCTTTTTTGTGCAGTTGTGATATTGGAGAGTCTGGATGAAGACATTTACATCCTATGGACTAAACTGTTTCCAAGCCAATATGAAGACTGATGTGTTTATTTTGATCAAAGTCAAAAGAATCATCACTCCAGGAAGTCCACTCTGTCCCCTGTCGCCGGCTGTGTGATCTGAGGATAACCTCCAATATTCTGCTCACTGGCAGCAGAATCAATTTTTTTTCCTCACTGTCTTGCTTCTCTTCTGTGCTCGGAATTAAAGCTGGTGCACTTTTGGGCTCTGATGAATTTTGTTTGGACATCCTGGGTAATTTCAATGGCCTTAGTGCTAATGCTCACTTTTTAATTTTCCACTATTCCTTTAAAAAAGAATATTTTTAGAGATTTTATCCAGCACATTGCTTAACCAGTGTCAAATTTTGCAGCTGTTGGATATATTGGATTATATCTTCAAAACATATTCAATGGTATCTTGCTGTTAAGGATTATTGCTTCCTAGTTTTTCTGTTTACAATGAATCCCATCTGCTTTTCACTTAAGGTGCATTTGCTGCTCAGTGCATTGTTAGGCCTGTGTCTTGGCCTGGAGTTTGCAGGGACTCCCGGCCAGTGGGCCCGCTACCTTCGCTGGGATGCCAGCACACGAAGTGACTTAAGTTTCCAGTTCAAAACAGATGTTTCCACTGCCCTGCTTCTCTATTTCGATGATGGCGGATACTGTGATTTCCTCCAGCTGATGGTAGTTGAAGGCAAGTTGCAGCTACAATTCAGCATTGATTGTGCAGAGACCACCATTGTCTCGGATAAAAGGGTCAATGACAGCAACTGGCACTTTGCCATGGTCAGCAGGAACAACCTGAGAACTGTCCTGGTGGTGGACAGCGAAACAAAAGCGGACGAGGTCAGGCCGGAGAGGCAGTACATGAAAATCGTTAGCGACCTGTTCATCGGAGGAGTTCCGCAGGATATCCGCTCACCCGCTTTGACACTGCCCTCGGTCAAAAACCAGTCCCCGTTCAAGGGAGTTATCACAGACCTGAAGTACGGGAACAAAGAGCCCACACTGCTCAGCAAACGAATGGTCAGCTTGGACATGGAAGGCATGTGCTCAGAAAACCTCTGTGAAAATGGTGGGAGTTGCTCAGTGGTCAAAGGGGAACCAAAATGTGATTGTTCTAATACAGGATATATTGGACAATTTTGCAGTGAAGGTAAGCACAGTACTTTTTTCTAATGATATGTCATTTTTACCTGTGAACCAGAGGCACTGGGGTGAGGTAATATCTTCCTCACTGCCCTCCACATTCCAGCTACCTGGCTGTTCTCGCTACCTCTTAATTTGATATTTTCTCCCTTGAAGGCAGATGGAGTGATTGCTCAGTCTTCTGAATGTCTTGGTCCTCCCCCTGAATATAGAGCCACAAGTCTCTTTCGACATGCAGATTTTAAAAGAAGTCTTTATTGATTCAGATGTCATCTTTTGGCTTCTTCTGTTGCTATTTTATGCATACCCACAACACATAAGAGGTGCAGCTGTCTGGCTGTTCGCTCACTGCGTGGTTCGTTAACGTTGAAAAATAAATCTGGATGTTTCATATTTAATCCATATCAACTATTATGTCAGAAGTTGACATAAATTGCAGCTTTTCCTTTGATTACTGTATGTAATAAAGCTTCTTATTACCGAGGACTATAAGGTGCAATGGAGGAATCTTGTTTTACCTGTTTTTATTTAGTCCCAACCTTTTCCTTCATCTACAGATTTTATTCAAGGGAAATTGCTGTGGATCTTGCTTTCAGGATTCTTAAAACAGCTAATTTTTTCACACAGGATCCAACAGTCTATACTTGTATTTGATGTTCTGTCATATTTTATTGAAGTACCTTTCCTCTGGGGGTGTTTAGCACGATCTGTTTCATTTTTTCTGATGCTGCAATCAATATATTTTAAACTGTACCAGAAGACTGCTCTGGCTTTATGAGAAAGGACGTTTTCTGGTGTCAAAGTTCAGGTCTTGACTGTGTTTATAAATCACAAATCCACACACATGGAAAATGTTTGTTATTCATGCTGCATATTTTTCTTAAGATGCGAATAAATTTTAATTTTATTGATTTATGAATAAGGGCAATGTTGAATATTGCATTTATCTGCAACAGCACCATATTCTACAGACCCATTAAAGCAGCCACACCTGATTTCTGGCACAGAAAAAAGGACCCTTTGTTATTGTCTTCAGCTCTAGTCATTTAGCCATGTCACAATTTATGTATTGAAAATCATCTTATTAATAGATATCTTTTGCTTTTAATCTGAGAAGTCACATTATTGTTTGTAAGTTGTCAAAATACCGTGTTTAAAAACCTGCAACAGGAATTAATTATTGTATACAACTTGTGCTGAAGGACAGTTTTCTGCATTTCTCAGATATTTTATTACCGTTCTGGGAATGGCCTGAAAGCCCTCTGAGATCTCTCCTTTGGAAGCCAAGTAGCCCGTCGGCTGCATTACTGACCTGTGCACTTGGCTATTTGTTCTCTCTGGCCAAAGGTGGCAGTCCTGAGTGTTTATCATCGAGGGCTATTTATTGTTTATTTTACTTTGTTCTCTTCTGATGATGAATGATGTTTCTTTTCTTATTAATGTATATTGATGAAGTGCACATTGCAAAATTGAACTTTGAGCAATTGCCATTTTATGCATGTACTATACCTGGGATTGACCTATGTTTTGAAAGTTCACTGAGTATTTCAAAAGTGTCAGATTATAAAAGATGATTATTGCCCAATATTTTCTTTTCAGGTTTGTGTACATTTCAGTCGCAGGTCTCCTCCATGATGCAGAGAAAAAAAAAGTGGAAGCTGAGCATTGAACAGCATTTAAAATTATCTTAAGCTTTTCAAATAGCTACAATATAAACTGTAAATACTGTAAACGTTTTATTAAAAATAATTCTGATTAAAAGTGTGTAAGGTCATTTTGATGTTGAGAAACAAATCTCAACTCCAGATTTTTTTTTCGTTGAACCATGTTTAGATCCTGCAAGTTTTACAGAAATCAGAAGGTACTGACTGGGTTTTAATTAAAATTATCTTTTCCCTCTTCTTCTTTCATCAAGGGTTTGCTGTTAAGATATTCCTTTTCAATGAAACAGTATCCTTCTTTGTTTATTTTCATCACTTAATCAATGAGGGCCTGGTCCATTTCAATTCACAGCCAAAGGTGGTGTTTGAAAGGTGTACTGTAGCTCAGGATGCTGTATGCAGAATGTCAGGTGTAAGCCTATTAACCATTAATACAAGAGGGCTTTTGTGACAGTTTCTCTTCATGAGATGAAAGCATTTTTCCATGATTGAAAGTGAAATGTACTCTTTGGCTTTAACGAAATGGGCAGTAGTAGCCTAGATGACAGTGTGGCCTCGACCATGATATTTCCATTGCAGACACATACAGTAATACCTGAGACTCAAAATTGCACCTTTCTGATTTCTTGTTCTTTGAAAACCTAAAATTGCACAAATGTGTTTTGATCAAACAAAATGTACTGTATGCACCAGGTAAGTTTGCAATTTAGTTACCTATGTCTCCATTGACTTGTAAATGAGTCAGGCAACATGACCAATAATCAGTCCAAAATGGCTTTTTTGACCTCCTCCCTTTTAATTGTAACAAATGGATTTTTAACTGTTGTCAGTGATGTGGATATGGGTGTCTTCTGGTAGGGTGGGGCCACAGAGTGGGTCATCTTTGAGCACCTCTGCCTTCCAAAGGGGTGGTCATTCATGTCCAGAAATCAGCGTCTGACCGTGTTTCCCGGTGCAAACATTCGCATTGAAATATTTGTTAAAATTAAAAGGGGTGATGGATTTATATATAGACTGCCCTACAGTATATGCTGCCTGTTGAGTCTGTTTCCGTGCCGTGTTCCATTTTGTCTGGTTATCTGCGTTAGACTGCTGCCGTGGCTGTAAAGCTGCTTGTCCCAATGGCATGTCCCTTTCCAGTGGAGGCAGAGCTGTTACAGACTGTGCTGCTTTTGCAGGCTGGTAGCAGATACGTGGAGAGCAGTGGACAGGTGGTTCAAGTTGATTTATTGTATGTGTGCCTTTTCGTCTTGTAATGTTGGCTCAGTGCTGCAGTGTACTGATAGGAGGCTTGGAGTAAAATAAAAAATAAAAGCGTTTTTAACGGGCTGAAGTCGTTAACACAGGTTCTGATAATAAAAATAGAATTGTTTACAGGATCATCTGCGATTTATGCTGAGGGCTGAGGAATACAGTACTGTAAATGTTTAAGCATGTAGGCATAAGTACAGTACACACAAGTCAAAAAGTACTCACCCCAGCTCTTTTGAAGGGGAAAAACAAGAACCGTTAGGCTTAGAGCTGTTTTTATGCGGAAAGGGAATTCATTTTGAATTTGCAATCAGTTCCTGCCCACTGTTAACCAATCTCTTCACCCACTCTTACTGTGGCAGTACAGAAAAGTGATTGTTCTCCTGCTGTTTTAGGGCCAAGTTAATCCCCACATTAATTGATACAGCTGTTAGTTCACTAAGCGATGAGTACAGTACTTAAAAGGAAGGACAGAAATGTGCTGATTGTACAACCTTCAGACAAACGCAGAAGCCTGAACTTTACTGTATAAATATATTGGTCTAAATAATAAATAAATTGGTCTTTTTTATTCAGAATGTGAGAAGTTTACTTTAATTAAATATCTACCCTCTGAATTTTTAATTAATGCAATACTGTAGATCATAATGTTATATTTAGGCATTTTATTTATGCTACATGATGAAAATAAAATCTCTGTTAACTTTATCCTTCAAGATAGTGCCACGTTGAGCTCTTATTTGTGTACAGAGCTGCAGGTACAGTATCTAATGATTCTGGATACAAGCAGATGGCCCAGATATTGTCAGAAATATTTGCTTCAGATAAAATGTATGCCTGGTATGCTGTAATGATTGAGATAGCCACAGTTGATATTATCTGAAAATCTGTATAATCGGAAGGCAGATTAAAATAATAAACATTTGGCAATAAAACAGATTTTCAGTCTGCTGTTTTGTGCAAAGCACAGCATATTAAGAAGTCGCTGTACTGTAACTGAGATTGAAACCAGACATTGCAGACTGTGTGTACTTTCTGATTAAATACTTCAGGCTGCCTAAAAATGGCTGAATTTAGAAATGTAGGTTTACAAAATTGTTTAAATGGAAAATTGTGTTGCTAAGGTGTAATTTACAGAGAGCAGAACTTCTCCAAAATGGAAAACATTATGAAATGATTAAGTCATTTCTGTAGTTTATTTTAAAATTGGATAGTTTTGTTAATAAGAATGCAGGAAGGGATTTTATATGCTAGCTAATTAATAAAAATATACAAATAAATGCAGACTGTTGGATGAAAAAATATGGCAGACACTTCAATCCACATGCATAGATTTCTTGAGTTAAGTGATCATAGCAGGAGCCTGAACAGAAGTCTTGCCCTTTGTTGACAGGATGGTTGCATAGCCTAGTGCACAGGGCAGGGTTAAATTGGACTTTGTCAGAATGTTCTGGGTGGTAACAGAAATAACCAAAAGAATGGGGTTAGAGAGGATGCTATGAGGATGGCTCGAAAGTGACTGTTTTGACAAGAGGGATATTAACAGTACCTTGTTTGCTTGTGCAACGTTTTTACAAAATTCAAAATCTGCATAAATTCTCTTTATATCCTTTAAAGGTTGACTGCGGAAGCTAGTGTCTATATGCAACATCACTGCCAGTCTGTACTTTATCTAACCCACCTGAATTATGAGATTTTGAAAAGAAATCAGAATGCAAAAATATTTTGCAAGCAAACAAGTTAACAGATGAGAGGGAGTAAATATACTGAGCTATCTGGAACAGAGTGCTAATTCCTAGCTTTATTACTGGGATTATTCCTTTTCCCCAATGGGAATAAAACTGGGATCCTAAATGCACTCCTAGATAAGACTTACTGTAGTTGCTGGATTTTTTTATTGTGGGCTAGAGAACAGTGATAATCAGAACATTGCACAAATGATGGAGCATTTTTAGCTTTTATTCACATGTATGAATTTAAATTTCAGTAGGTTCCCCTTCCTCATTTTTTAAACTTTTTTTTGCACAAATGCTGTTTTGTAAAATCGTGTGCAATTGTAATTCATTTCACTGATTTTTGTTTTCTAGTTTAATAGTGTTTAGATTTAGTGCTACCCTAGTACAGTAGGTACAGGGATGTCAGTTAGAATATGTTCTGGGTAGAATCCTGTGGGTAGAACATTACTGCGATACATCAAACAAGAACCCCAAGCAGAAGTGTCTCTTTTTGCAGTACTTGTGAGAAATGAGCATGTAGCACTCCAATTGTTCTGCCTGTCGCTGGGAATTGAAAAGAGAGACACTCCCCCCCAAAAAAACATACATTTGACATTTGTGATCAGCAGCAATTAGTCAGGGGTATTACTGGGCTTGAATTGTGGAAGCAGCAGTAAAAAGCATTATTTTTTAAAACTATTACAAGTGCTTTTAAAGTGCTCAAGAAAGATGACGAAAACATATTAACTAAAGAGGCTACAGCCTGTAATGGAGATGAATGTTCATGAGTTTGTCATGTCAGAGTTCAAGGATTTTAAACTTAATTGCTTCCAGAGTAAATTAATATCTAATAAATCACTGATTTCTAAATACTAAAAGCATCTAATGGGTTAGGACCTAATGAGTTTCTTGTAATTTTCCTCAGTTAATGACTGTTTGTGCAGAGGAGGAACTTCTTGTCAAAGTACTGTAACTTGAGGAAAGCCCTTGACAGACAGTCGTTCTTCTGAGCAAGTACTACTTTGCACTCTTCATGCTAGGGTACCAAGCCCAACGTTTCTTCTACTTGTAGAGTGCTCTCGTACAGAATGTCAATATGTCCCCCTTTGATCAACGGGGAATTTGTTAAAAACAGAGAATTGGAAACACCTCTTTACTCAAAGAGTTGTGGGTGTCTAGAACTGGATTCCCAGCCGTGTGGTTGAGGCCAAAGCTCTGAGGTCCTTTGAGAAACAGGTGGATACAATTTTATATTCAGCTGTTAAACTACCAAATGAGCGAGATGGAAAGAATGGGTCCCTCTCATTTTCAGATGTCAACCCATGTTCTTAATAAACAAAACCAAATAGAAACCATCCTGAACTCTGGTGTTGTTAAGGGTTAAATTAAGCTTTACAGTGAAACCAGAGATTCTATGCTGTTCAAAGTTAAACAAGTGTAGGCAACAGAGCGTTTAAAGCTCTTTCAAGTTTCTAAGTCATGTAAAATAGATATACTAAAAAATCACTATGCAACAGTTTTGAAACTTTCTGGGTTAGAACAGCCTTAATACCGTGTACAATAATAGATACTGCTTTGGTTGTGCTGCTCCCCTGTCCACTAACAACAAACCAAAGAGTTCCCTAATGCTTAGTAGTAAAGATGTACAGGAGAATGTTGCTGGCAGAACAAAGGACTATATTAACATAATAAAGTTATGTTTATTAATCTTTTAACCAGCCTTTAGTGTTCATTTACCCACTAAACAACAAACTCATGAGAGTGGCTTCCTCAGGTTTCTCACCTTGATAAGGGTTGTGAAATGCTTTACCAGAGCTCCTATCTGTGCCACATGCTCGCTGGATTGGGACGTTTCTTGTTTGTTGTGAACACTGCAAACAAGACTGAGACCTTTGCATTACAGTAACTTAATTGATTTACTCCTGGTGCAGTACAGTATATGAGTTGAAATGGAACAAGGCATTTATAACTGATGGAATAATGCCAATGAAAGCTAGGACGCTGTCAAAATGTACCCTACAGGTATGTGTCTGCAATGAAAATAAATTGGACAGGTAAAGGTTTTGTGGATAGTACTGTTATACACAAGCCCCACAACATCATAAATTCATTTCCTCTTTGAAGGAGCATGTTCTACAACTTGCTGGAATTTATGGACAAAATTGTATGTGGGGAAATTTGTGGTATACAGGAAACAGAATATTGTGCAATATTCTTAATGTTACCTTTCTGAGTTTTTCTATTGGGTTTTGACAGAATTGATCTGGTTCCAAGATGTTGGACAGATAAAATGATATCTTTCTCAGGTGATTTGTAGACATGCATAGTGATAAGATGTCACTTGCATGAAGGCAGGTGTGTCAATTTTGCATGAAAGTATTTCCATGCAAAAACATGTGCCGTGTGTTTCTAATGCTGAAAATCTTCTCCGTCTCTCTTTCTCCTCTTTTTTTTTTAAACGCAACAGCAGAAGTCAACAATATTCCAGGTGAGTTGTCATGAGTCCTGGAGCACTTTTTTCATGTTGATTTCACTATAATGAGCTGGTTCACCTTCCTGTCACGACTCTAATTAAATACATTGGGGAAAATAAATGCTGTCAGAAAATGTGAGATTTTAGCTTCACAGTAATATCACGAGACCTTTGGAATGTTTACTGTAGTGAAATAGTCCTGTTTGTTTTGGGAAAGGTACAAAATGACATAGGATATTACTAAAACAAGAATAAACCTCATGTAGAATAACCAGTACCTACATCAGGTTTCAATCAGAAAGATTAAAAAGAAAATGATAAAATAAAAGGCATAATCAGTTATACCTTTGATAAAAGACAAACTGCTTTCAAATAAGTCAGTACACTTCTTCATTGGTTTGATCTAGTAATTAACCTGGGATTATACTATTTGAATAATAATTGCATACAAGCTGATTTCCCATTTTAAATACAAATGAACAGGTTAATTGCACATAAAGGTGAGGAGATTGATCCAAAGATGACAAAGCAGATGCTCTACCATTGCTACATGGGAAATCTTTTCATATTTTTTAATTGAATATCTTAACACAATTGTATATTCAATATTTAATATTCTACTAATTGAATGTTTGGAAAAATGCATCAATCAGCCATCAATATCTCATGTCTCATTTTAAAGTTAATTTATTTGAGATTGAATAGGTGTTAATAGCCATTATCTTATTAGCTTGCAGAGTATTTTTCCTTAAAAGAAATGGCCAGATAATAGTAGTTTTGCCAAACCTGTGGAAGTGTATTCAAAAACCATGGTTAAATGTGTAGTGAAAGGCATACATAATTTAATTTAAATAAATTATCTAAAAAATCAATATACTTAATACAGTATTTAATTAGTGTCTGCCTTGTACCATTTATAATGAAATGCAGGACCTTTAATATAGCTTATGTGCTTTTAACATCCTTTTATATAATGAAATGAATTCCAAGAAAAATTCAAGTTACTGGGTTTGCTAGTAATGCAAGGAGATACTTGTAGCTTCTGCAAGAAGCCTATACTGTAGCTAAATCTTTTCAGACCTCTGTGAAGTGTTTTTCTTTTAGCATGATGGATGCCATGCTTTGCCTTACAAAGCATGTGACATCGCAATACCAAAAGTATTGAATGGGTGTTTCAGCTGTTCTTTCTTTCACTTAAAGGTTTCGCACATCTGATGATGGCCGAACAAGGTATGCTTTCTTTCTTTTCTTCCTGCTCTCCTTCTTAATTTTCTCTGCTATTTGATTTTGTAACATACTGTAAATGCTTGAACATCTATCCCTTGGATAGGTGGTCCACATGTTTCTTGTGTGCATTTGGTTTTAATACACGATTTGTGCAAAGTGGTGAGCTTTGACTGAGTTCTTCAAGCATGGCCATAAAAATACTGTGCAAACTATACATTTTGCTGAAGTGCAATGCTATTCACACTTGATTTAATTACAGTACAGAATTGGTAATGTGTTTAAGGTGGTCGCATGCATGATCTCAGCTCATTAAAATTTGAAATTAAAATCTAGTTTTGTGTGAATTACAACTGGAAAAAAGATGCATTTCAAATTTCACCAGGGTATGCACTGCTGCACTTGAAATCACTTGTGCTAATTCGATTTGGTTGCATTATGTGAGTTTGCCATTGCATGTGTAGAGTGTTTTCGTTTGCTGTCAAGTGTGCTTTCACAGTTCTTAACTCCACATTGCTACAGTAGACTTCGGTAGTGATGTATGTGCCTATGAGTTGATGACAACTGTTCTCTTCCTCAATCTTGATCATATTTTATCCTTCCCCTTTCTTGTTGCTCTTCAATTCTGGATATCATGCATACTTTTCCATATGGAACCCCACTCTTCTGTTTCTGTAGGTAGAAGCAAAGGTAGATCTCTCTTTAATTACCTTCTTTGCAATTGCTGTTAAAACACAAAATTATTTCAGCTCAGTTTTTTTTCTGTTTTTGCAGTGTGATTTACTCTGACCTGTGGTCTTGAAAGAATGCTGAGTTTTTTATTTAAACTGCGTGTATACTGTGTGTATATACAGTACTGTACAGCATATAACATATATAAATGAATAATACAGTATGTGAGTTTGATTTTTATACTTACTGTTTTTTTTTGTACAAATGTATTGCTTTCCAGTATTGTATATTCATGCCTTATGCATAATGTTGGCTGTTGTGGAGCTGGTTGTTTTAATTTAAAATCATGAAGAAGCCTTCACCAAAACAGGTTGTCTACTATACAGTTTTGCAGAATTTCTAAGTTACAGTTGGTGTGTAATGTACAGTCATCGTTCAACAGGTACTGCAATGAGCCTACTGAATATGGCATCTTCGGTGGCTGGGACTATCACTGCCCTGTTCTAAAGAAAATGTCAGAAAACTGTCAACTAGTGCAGTAAATGTTAAATTATTTTAATTATGCCGTTAAATGAATTCATGGCATTTTGTATGTGAAACGTGCAACTGGAATTTTTTTTCAGTCGGATTAGTTTTTAAAAAAGTCAATTACAATTTATTTGTACATAACACTTCACATTATGTACGATAATGTATTTCTGATGAGGAAGCTACAGTATATGTCCTGTTTGAGCACTCCAACTCAATCCCCAATTTACTGGAATTACTGGATGACAGGGAAAATTGCAGGCTATTATCTTAAAAATAAGTGTTTTCCATGGTCAGGCTGACATGAAGTACAACCTTTTTTCTTTATTTTTAATGCCAAAGTCTATATGTAACAGACATTAATCTGACAATTTCCAAGATTTATCTCAAGTTCATTAAACTCATTGTCAGTCCTTGGGGATATAAGGACATGATGTTGCTAGTGATTCAATGCTGGACATTTGTCATTTCTTCTACACAAAAAGTAATTTACTAAAATACTTTCAGTGTGTTCTTTTTCTACTTGAGGGATTTAGTACTTTTGTACTGTTTGTGAAGTACATATTGTATATTTTATTTAAAGTCCATGACATGGCTGAATCATTGATCTGTTATTGTAGAAGTATAGATCAAATTTATTAAATGCCATTTGGCAACGAAACTTAAGTATTAATTTGAGTGGCTGTGCATTATGTAGCTTGAGCTATCGGGTATGTTGGCTTGGATTATTACTGATTGGAGGCACATTTTGGCTTAATATGCCATTGTCAGTCAGTCTACAAGGACCCGTGTACCGACTCCAAGCTGGGCTTGAATCTGTGGTGAATTGATAAAGCATGGCTCACTGAGCTTCCCTGGGAATACGTAAACATTTCTCTGACAGTTTCAGTGCAATTTGAACGTGTACGTCTAATGGCAAATGGTATGAAAGGCAAATTATTTTGCCTGACGTGTTGTCTACAGATTGTTGACAGGCACCCTGGCTTTTCTTCTGAGTAGGAGATCATGATTTTTCTCTGGAGCAGGATGTATCTCTGCTCTTCTCAACCTGTACATTCAATTTATGCAGAGATGTTAAGGCTGGTGATTTTTTAAAAAGGCTGTGACGTCTGTTTGGAGTCAATTTGTAAGGGATATCATACTATAATATTGGCCATTTGATTAGACATCAAATACTATGTTTTTCATTGCATACCACTGCAATCAGAAAGTAACAGAATGTATTGTAATTATTTTTTACCCTTCCTAACTTTGCAGTGTTTCTTCTAGACAGTAGAAATCTAGACCTGTTTGTCTTTACAGTGTGTTCCCCTAATTTTTTTGTGATAATGAGAAATAAAGATTAATAAGCTGACCAGCCACAACGTGAGTTAGAAGGCTTAGGGGAAATGGGTTCAAGAATAAAACTGTTCCAAACCTGCCAGTGGAACACCATGAATTGACTGTTCATGTTTTGGTTACGAACATTGATCATATATAATATTGTTCTCTTTTGGGCTTCATGTCAAAAGTTAGTTTATTACAACATGTGAAAATGCAAACTACTATTACATTAATCTTCCAAGAAGTAACTTTATTCTATACTTTAATTATTGTTAATATATAATTAGTCAAACACATCTGAGTTTAGGAATTGAGGAGGCTGAAGCCTTCTCCTTGCACTTCTGAGTCTCAGTTTCCTCAGTGCAAGCTCAGGTGTCTGACACATACAGATGCCTGTATATTTCCATTCAAATCTCCAGAACAGGCTTTACTAATTATCCCTCGATATCTTTTTGTTTGAGTGCTTCAGACCTTTTGGTTGCTGGACCCTCAGGTAAAGCAAGAGAACAGTTTGGATTTCATTTGCATCTTTGCAAGCAAGGTGTATAGTATGAGAGAAACATTTAGGAGTTGCTAAATCAGCATTTTGTACATACAAGATGGAGCTATAATTGATGGAGTCTGATGGTAATATTAACATTTAAGGTCTCTGGGAATATTGTTTAAATATTTTTTATATACAGTAAGAGGCATGGGCGTTTGTTATATGGGTGTTTGAATGTAATAATGTTAGGGGTCAGTGAGAGCAGCTGTGGTGAAATGCAGTCTTATCCGCTCTGCTATGATGTTCATGTATTTAGATGGCAAAACCGGTCTCCTGCAAGACCCCCAGTTCCCACTGATAGGAGCTAATGTGCACGCTGTCAAGGAGCAGCCCTGAAGGAAGCTGTGGGAGGGTGTGGACTCGGCTGTGTGCCTGGGAGGTGGTGTAGTCCAGGCCCAGGTGGGATGTTCACGACCCCGTTAGCTTCACTCAGCTCCAGTAAATGGCCTGGCTGTGTAAATAGGTACGAAATGTAAGTCGCTTTTAACTAAAAGTGCCAACCAGATCATTCTTGTTTATTCGACAAAGATTAAACGAGCCATGTTGAGCTTCTTGTGGGGACAGTTGGTGCCACTGCCCGTAGCCCGAAAGGGCTTCACTGGGGCAGCTGCACACGCCGGATTTACTTCGTTTCCCCCGTAGGCCCCAAGCCACCCTCACTCCCGCGTGAGCCCCCTGCCCGGATGTCAGCCAACAGACTGACGGGAGGGCGCCATTATCTTTTAAAGCCAAAGGATCATTTTTATCTCTCAGACCTACAGATGGAGGGCATTTTTCAGCTGGCCTCATGTAATCGTTTTAATGAAGAGCTGTCGCATAGAAATGTGGTTTTCAGTGTTTTAATTTCTCCACGATTAACTAAAACCTGAAAGCATGATGCTGAAATTAAGTTATTAAAGTACGGACTGTATTTATAAGGATAAATGGGTATTTCATGCATTTAAATCCTAAAATGAATTATACCCCAGTAAGGAAGTTTGGTCTATACAGTATGTCTTGTATGAAGTTGTAGAAGAAAATGCCTAGTGCACTTAGGACTCTCACATCACTTTCTGTGAAAACTGTGGAGCAGAGACAAATATTTCTTACATTTGTCATTGAATTCCATGCAGAATGCAGGTATTTGTTTTATTTGGAGTGTGCAGGCGAATGATTAGTCTGAATGAGACCAGTTATTATATCTCAGAAACAAAATTAATTCCCGAATTAAGCACAAAATCATGAATTTACTTACTTTATTACTTTTATTTTATTTTATTTTGAAATGCACACATCAATGATTTATATAAAACCCCCTCAATATAAAAATAGTGTTGTAGTTCCCCTTGAAACCCCATGGAACAATGTGGAACTCGGAAGAGCAGCTGGGACACGAGCCCTGAGCTCTCTAGGGGTCTCACTCTGACATGATTACCCCTCTCTGAAATGATTATTATAGGTCAGTTTCAATGCTGAGACTTTGGCATGTGTTGACAGATACAGTGAGCCAGATAAATAAGATCATGACTTGAAGGGATAGTCGTTTTTGTTTGCTGAGGTCCATGTGGCGTGGTGCTGATTCTTTTTTTAAACTTGCACTGCACTGAGGTGTGGGGGTTATTGATCTGCAGTGTAAATTCCCTCATGCTTTGTTTGGGGTTGTTGCCGCAGCTGTGCACTGTCTGTGCTCCCCTGAGGTCCCAGTCAAACACAGGACTGCTGTACAGTAGGTTCCTGTCCTGGGAGAGGTGTTAAAAGTAATAAGCCAGACTCTCCTTCGGGTGTTATGGTTTTCTTGGGTCATTTTTTGGCTAAACTGCTTCTAGTTGATTGGAATAGCTAAAGATGTCAATACAATTAATTTGCTCAGTAGTTAATTAATTGTATTTGGTTTCCTTAAGGGGATCTTAATATCCTGCCAGGAGCCTGTTTGATAAGGAAGAGGTTGTGGTGTGGCTTTATTTTAGCCTCCCTTTCCTTTACGCGCTGTCTGAATGCTGTATGGGTGGCTGGGCCTGGAAGCAAACACTCTGCTGTTGATTGTGGAGAGGGATTTAATGTATAGTTAAATCGGGAGACAGAGAAGCAGTGGGTGGGAGATTTATCAAGTTAAGCAGCTGGCCCCTAATAATATACAGTAGGAAGGCAAGATGCAAAGTTCTTAAAAAAACCTCTTGGCAGACATCACAAGTTTAACCCAGGGTTTTTTCTAGCCTCTCTAGTTCATGAGTCATTTTACAATTATAATTATTTCAGTTTCCAAATAGATTACAAGTTTGTGTTTATTTGGCAACTTTCCTAGTTCTATAATGTTTCTGGTTTAAAAATTTAAATATAGATTTTTCTGCAGGCTGAATCCAATTTTTCGCAGCCCCCAGAATTGCTTAATGCCGACCGAGTAACTTGATGTGTTAAGGTGGGATTTGTGGGGTTCTACCAAACTGACAAAACTGACTTCACATCCATCCTGCAACATACATTTCAGCAAAGGAAATGAGAGGATTTCTGTCCATCATTCACTTCCTTATTACTGCCATAGAATTATAGCACAAGTAATCATATCAGGGGGAAGCTCATAATACCCGAATAGAAAGAGAAGTGGGCAAAATTACGTTGCATACAGATGATCTCTCATGGTGATAAT